CGGCAGTTAGAAACTGCTGCGCGGGGATTTCTTTCCATGTGCGCAGCCGCACAGGCGCGCACCTTAGAGGGAACAGTGCCCCAAAGTCCATGGGATCAAAATTCAGACGCTTGGCAACTGACTCAGAGTTATGACAATGTCCTGGAGTCTTGTGACCCCCTTTTGTGACCTTACGACAAGCAATGTCGATGGAGTGATTCATTTAACAAGTGGAACGAGAAAGTTAGTTAAATGGGGCAAAATTCACTTAAACGTCTCAGCAGCAGAAATTTTCGGCTCAATTGTGGTTGTAAGTCTACGTCCAGTAGTAAGATGCCGAGACCCAGAAAGAATGCAGAGAAGAGTGATAAAGATTTATTACGGGGCTGGACTGTATAATGAATGATTGAAGGAACCAGTCATGTCTAGTCTAACCAAGACCAGAGCTAAGAGTGATGTGATAGCAATATTCCAGTACTTGAGGGGCTATCACAGAGAAGAGGGGGTCAACCAGTGGTGGGTTCCGGATCCCGTTGCAACTGGTATGGTGCAACGGGGCTCAGTGTCCACCACATAAATGCACGCAGCGTGTGCATGCGTCCTTACCTCCTGCGACACTCCGCGACAGCTCTGTGATGCTCCAGCTGCTCGGCAGGCGCCATACACTCTGTGCACATGCGCAGAAGCACCAAAGAGCTTGAATACAGGTAAGGATGGCGGGCAGGTGGGTGGGCCCTCTGGAGCACCGTACCAGAACAATACCCGGTGCTCCCGGCAGGCACTGGTACGTCTGGGGCGTACCACCTGCAACTCACCACTGGGGTCAACCTATTCTTCAGAGAATTTGAGGGCAGGGCAAGAAGTAGTGAACGGAAGCTCATTTAAGAAAGATTCAGTCTACACTGTTTCCGCCAAAATAAGACCTCACTGGATAATAAGCCCAATCGGGCTTTTGAGTGCATGCGCTAATATGAGCCCTCCCCACAAAATATTTAGACGCTTGAACAGCCGGCCCCTGCCATTTCCTCTGGTTGCTTGCCACAGAAACCACACATGGTGAGGAGGCGAGGCCAAAGGGAGAGGAAATGGAGGGGAAAACATGCCCCACACACCCTTACCTAACGGCCGCTCCCGCAACCCTAGTCACCACGCTCCTCCTGTCATGCTAATGGCCGCTGCAAAAAGAGCGGCAGGCCCAGGAATGTGACTTGCTGCTGCAGCAGCACCACACTGCAGCAGCCATGAGGTGACCACGCCCGCCGCCTCCTGCCCCTCAAAAATAATAAGACCTCCCCCGAAATAAGGCCAAGTGCTTATTTCAGGGGTCAGAAGAAAAGCAAACTCCGCCTTATTTTCAGAGAAACACGGTAGAACCAAGGAGAAATTTCCTGACAATGAGAACAATTAATCAGTGGAAAGGTTTATCTCTAGAAGTTGTGGGTGTTCCCCCAATAGAGGTTTTCAAAAGAGACTGGACAGCCATTTGTCCAGAATGGTAGAGGAGCAGGTTGGACTAGAAGACCTCCAAGGTCTCTTCCGACTGTATTATCCCATGGTCTTATGTCTTCCAAAAGACTCCCTTGGACACGAAGCGAGTCAGTTCCAAGCACAAGAAGAAGAAAAGGTCTTGTATGAGGTCTTGTGGAATTCACAGACACAACATCTTAATGCCAGGGGAGCAGTAGAACTAACTATCTGGTAGATCAGTGATGGCCATAGAGCCGAGGTGGCGCAGTGGTTAGGGTGCAGTACTGCAGGCCACTTCAGCTGACTGTTATCTGCAGTTCNGAAACAGGAGATTGTGAGTTCTAGTCCCACCTTAGGTATGAAATGAGTCTCTCTCAGCCCATCTTACTGTTCTGGCCTAGGCTTCCCCTCCTCACTTTTATTAATTGACTGTGAATTCTGCTCATTCACATCCAGCAAAGTCTTTCAAGGGAGGATTTATAGTCACAGACCTTATCTGGCTTGGAGAGCTGACAGGCTGATATCTGCAAAAGTTGTCAAGGAGTTTACAAGAGTTACGAACCAATTAATCAAACTAATTGTCTCCTGCAAACTCCACTCCCCTTTCGCTCCACTTTTATTTCCTCTGGGAGGGGCCATTCACTGTCCACCTGTGGCCTTACTCCCAAGTTGGCCCCTGTTCCTTAGCTGTTCCCTTTGTCTGGCAACTCTGCACATGTGCACACTGGGAATACGTTCCAGCTGTTCCTGTGCCTCACTGACGTCTGACTCTGAAGGCAGTTGATAATGCATATGGCTGTGGCCCCCTCTCTGCCCTCGACACAGAGTTCTCATCAGAGCCTTCCCCAGACTCCAGGACTGGCCCATGTCCCTCCCCAACCTCCTCACTGTCCAAATCTGCTGCTAGTTCTGCTGGCCCCTGGCGGGCCACAACCCTTATCTCACAGGGTTCTTGGTGTGGGGAAAATAGGAAGAGAAAAGTGTGCTGGATACATTCGCCGCCTTGAGTTATTTATAAAAATTATAAAGGCAGGATAGAAATAAATAACCTTGCAATGAAATTGAAGTATTAAAGGAATTAAACAGGAAACTTTGTCGTAAAGTATTTGGATGTACCCTTCCCATAGGTTACTCTCTGTGGAGTTGGTATGTAAGACTTCTGTTTTTATCCTCCGCAGGGCAGAAAGACTTTATGTTGGCTGCAGCTGGTGCTGATGGCACTGTGAAAATTTGGAGACCCTTGACAGTAAGAAAGGAGGGGAAATCTTTTATCTTTTTTCTTTTAAAGACCTGTGGTGGTTGCACAGTACAAATAATAGGGATCAGTTCTTCCAGGAACACTCTCTCTATAAAAATGTGTGTTTGTGCGTGTGTGTGTTTGTGTGTTCAAGCATAACACTGGAACATCTCGAACAATTTCAACCAAACTGGTATACAGATGACTTACTTTCTGGATAAAAATACTAGGCAAGAAAAACACTCTTAATACCCTTTCGGAGGGGAGGTGTTCTGTTAAGATACAGCCTTTGTGCCTTAATGGCTTCTACTGTACAGTGCAGTGAAGTTGCTATGGTAACGGCTTCAAAGTACACCACAAGGGGGAAAATCCAACATTAGAAATTACATTTGGTCTGGATATTTCCCCCCTGTGAATAAATACCCAGGCAACGCCAAGTTATCGACTAATTTGAAATAAAATTAGGTTACAACTTGAAAGTTGTAATGTTGATGCATTAGAAATTATTGGTTGAAACGCCAGAATTTAATTTTACTGGTTAGGGTTAGAGTTAGGGTTAGGGTTTTTATTTTTCTTATCAATCCCCCAAAGTTAAGTTACTTAAGGTGAATGACCATATAAATCTTTTAAATACAATGCAGACGTAAACATTTTATTTTTCTCCAGTTTTTTTACTCGCATAAGAGTAATGTTGCCTTTTATCGCATGCCTTTTATTAATTCCTTTCTGGTTATTTGCAGATTGAACAACCTCAAGTCCTTTTCGGACACTCTGCTTCTGTCTGTGCGGCTGCTGCTACCTCATCGTCATTCCTGACCATCTCCAAAGACAAGTCAGTCCGCATATGGGCCATCCCTAAAACTGATGGTAAGTAGATGGGTGTCATGAGTCCGACTAATGAACCCAAGCAAATCAGAACTCTGAGGCTAAGGCCTCCCTCTAAGAATGCCTTTATTGGGTACATCATATCAGCATGATCAAATGGAAAATCAACTCTAAATGTTTCCCGTGGTTTCAGAATAATTAAAATAGGAAATAACCCCCTCCCCAAAAGTCTGAAGTCATGTCAGCCAACTCCTCTACGTCTCTATTCACCATCTGTAAAGATGACCTTGGTTCCCATGAGAAAGTTCAGTGTTTTGTCTAGCAACACATTTCTTCCTCCCTCCTCCCCTCCCCACTCTGTATGGCAACTGAGGAATAGAGAATTGGTTTCTGCCAGGTACGATTAGAAGTTGACAGTCGGATCACCTCTAGTAACTGAGGAATACCTGGAAAATATCAAATATTAGATAGGTTAATTTCCTATTACCTCCACCCCTCCAATCCAGGGGTGGTATTCACTTACCTTCCCTACTGGTTTGCAAATGTGAGCGCACACTCAGCTGTCCACACATGCACTTTTGGTGAAAAAAGGGCCTAAATGGGATGCCATAGAGCTGGGGCAGTTGGGAGGGGCCTCTCGTGATTTCTGCTACCGGTTCAAGTGAAGCGGTCTGAACAGGTAGAATACCACCTCTGCCCCAATCACCAGGTGGTTCTTTGGCTTCTGGGGATACTTTTCATGGAATTTCCTGACTAACTTCTCTGCTCTAACATTCCCTCACTTTACCCAAGTGGCTTCTGACGGGGTAATCTTTCCGCTGCACGAAGTATTGCAGTTTTCCCTTATAAATGAAAAAGGTAATCCTTCTACGTGATCAGGCTGATATGATGTACCCAATAAAGAGGGAGACCTTAGCCTCAGAGTTAGGGTTCGTTAGTCAGGATCATGACAATGGATCTCCTAAAACTGGGGTCTAGAACCTTGGCAACTTTAAGACTTGTGGACTTCAACTCCCAGCAAGCTGAGGGTCGAGCAAGCATCAAGCGGGCAGGCGGGATGAGCAAGCATCGAGCGGGCAAGCAGGGGCGGGGCCAGCCAGATGTCACTACCGGTTTGGCGAATCAGGTCAAATTTCCCCTACCAGTTCGCCCGAACCAGTGCGAACCGGCCGAATACCACCTCTGTTGGTGATTCCTGCCCTAAAAGACCCGGAACATTTCAAAATCTGTGGATTGAAGCAGAACAAGAAATAGAGGCAGAGAGAGATACGAGGGGGGTGGCTATCACTTATTCTTAACAATCACAATTGAGTCCAAAATTTCTGTTGCTAAGCAAGACAGTTATTAAGCGAAGTTTGCCCCATTTAACGACCTTCCTTGCCACCATCGTTAAGTGAATCACTGCTGAAAACTACAGTTGTTCAGTGAATCTGGCTTTTTCATTGACTTGTTGAAATGTTGCAAAAGGCAATCACATGACTCCAGGACACTGCAACTGTCATAAATATGAGCCAGTTGCCAAGGGTCTGAATTTTGATCACATGGCCATGGGGATTCTGCAACTGTTGTTAAGTGTGAAAAGTTGTCATAAGTAATTTTTTTCTGTGCCGTTATAACTTTGAATGGTCACTAAAAGAATGGCTGTAAGTCAAGGAGTGGGGTTTCCCAACCTTGGCAATTTTGTGTGGACTTCAATTCCCAGCATGCATTTTTCCATAAATAATCATGGAAAACAGGCAGGCTAGCAGTAATATCTACTCCCCACTCCAACAATGCATCCCAAAGAAATGTGAAAGAAATTCTCCAGCAATCTGAAAATAAGGAGAAAAAAAGAGCACACGGTAGTGATTCATTTAACAACTGTGACGATCCCCTTAGTAACGGTGGCAAAAAAAGGTTGCAAAATAAGGCAAACTTCACTTCACAGCTGTTTTGCTTAGCAACATAAATTTTAGACTCAATTGTGGTCATAGGTTGAGGATTACAGGTAGTCCTCGGCTTACAACAGTTCATTTAGTGACAGTTGAAAGTGACTTATGACCGTTTTTCACAGTTCCCCATGATCACGTGATCAAAATTCAGATGCTTGGCAATTGGTTCACACTTATGACTGTTGCTGCGTCCTGAGGTCGTGCTATCCCCTTTTGCGACCTTCTGCCAAGCAAAAGTCAATGGGGAAGCCATATTCACTTAACAGCCAGGTGACTAACTTATCAACTGCAGTGATTCACTTAACAACAGCTTGTGTCAAGAAACGCCGTATAATGGAGCCAAACTCACTTAGCAAATTCTCACTTAACAACGTAAATTTTGGGCTTAATTTTGATGGTAAGTCAAGGACTACCTGTATCTCACCAGGCTCAAGGTTGACTCATCCTTCCATCTTCCCGAGGTGGGTAAAATGTTGGGGGCAAGAGGCTAACTCTATAAACCCCTTAGGGAGGGCTGCAAAAGCGGTATATAAATCCAAGTGCTATTGCTATGAGCCTCGGTGGTGCAGTGGTTAGAGTGCAGTACTGTAGAATACTTCTGTTGCCTGCCGGCTGCCTTCAAATTTGCAGTTCGAATCTCACCAGGCTGATGGTTGACTCAGCCTTCCATCCTTCCGAGGTGGGTAAAATGAGGACCCCGCTTAGAGAGGGCTGTAAAGCACCGTGAAGAGGTATATAAGTCTAAGTACTTTGCTCTCTGTATGTTTCTTTCCCTTCTCCACCACAGCTGACCCGGAATGCCTGCCTCCTCACCAGGGTGCTGTCACAGCTGTGGCTTGGTCTCCTGATGGGAACTTGGCTGCTTCCGGTGGGGAACACGGTGACCTGATTGTCTGGCAAGGAGGAGAGATTTTGGGGATGGCAAAGGTAGGGCAGGTGTTCTGCACCTGTGTGCTCAAGTATATTTGGACCTTGGGAATAGCGCCTTTTTAGAACCTGGGGAAAGGAAGTTGTTCTGACCCAGGCTTCCCCAAAAAGCACGAAGCAGATCCCTGGTCCCGAGAAAAGCCCTTTTATTAAACGAATGTGAATTCCTCTCATTCACATTCAGCAAACTGTCTTTCAAAGGTGAATTTATGACCACTGACCTTATCTAGCTTGGGAATCTGCCATGTAAATATTTTCCAAACGCAGTGATGTGCAAGGAAAGACTTGGCACAGAGTCTCTGGGATTCACGGACAGATCTGCACACTCCTGAAATGAATGAACTAGTTGTTTCCTGCTAAAGCCCATTCCCCTTTTGCTCTTCTTTTATTTCCTATGGGAAGAGCTATTCACCATCCACCTGTGGCTTTACTCCCAAGTCGACCCTGATTTCTTAGCGGATTTTTTCTGGCAGCTCTATGCATGCGCACACTGGGAACATGTTATAGCTGTTCCTCTGCCTCACTGCTGTCTAGTTCCGAAGGCAGCTGCTAACTGTCGGATGGCCTTGGCCTGTCTCTGCCTCTGACGCACAGCTCATCCAAGCCTTCCCCAGACTCTAGGACTGGCTCGTGTTCCTCCCCAACCTCCTCATTGTCTGACTCTGCTGCCAGCTCTGCTGGCTGCTGGTAGGCCACAACAGAAGTGCCAACAGATTCCTTCTTTTAATTGATGTCTTTTTTTTTTTTAAATCTTCTTCCAGGTTGGCCCCGGGTGTATCAGTGCTCTTACTTTCCATTCTTCTCAAACAATCCTTGTGGCTTGTGGTGGGATCAGCCTTTGGGATATAAGTGACAGCACGCAGAACGTCAAGGCAGTTAGGTAAGATGGAGCAAAGCACAATGGGGGGACGGGGGACTGTCAATCCCTTTCCCTCCTGGATTTATACATGAGTCGCTCCTTGGAATCTGTTCAACCCCAACAGCAGCTGCTGTAAGAAGCAGAAAGGTCCGCCATAATCTTTGTACTCAATACAGGCAGTCCTCGACTTACAATCGTTCACTTAGTGACCATTCGAAGCTACAGCGGCACTGAAAAAAGTTATTTGCGGGTGTTTTTCACAATCGTTATAGCACCCCCCCCCCCAAAGCAATGTTCCCTCTAATTTTTTTTCAGTGTGAGCGGAAAAGTATAGTGTTTGAACGGCACAGTTTCATGCCTGAGCACCTAAGAGAGCCACAGTTTGAACTGCTGTCACGTCTGCTGTACATTTGCGCAACATTCCAAGCGTCAAGCGCCNCTTCTTTCAAGAAAGCCTAAGTATACTGTGTTAAACTGGCTCCATACAAACAATATGCAACATAAATTATGAAATTTAGATTCTGCTGTATTTTGCATGAAAATGGATTATATTCTTGCTCCTTATGTATTTTTTTAATGATATATGTTTGCAATCATAAAGAATAAAGTAATTCTAAGAGGAAACTTCCTAGCAGCAGTTGTGATGATGGTAGTTTACTTTAATGCTAGATTGGGGCTCTTTTCCTTAAATACCAGAAGGACCCCTGACAAAAGAAAGGTACATTTCCCTCCCTGGTCTAATGACAACTGAGAGGTACCCACCCAGTCAGGCACAAATCTTAAGGTATCTTGGCAGTATTTTTTTCAGCAGGTTCTGATCAGTTTTGGAGAACCGGTAGTGGAAATTTTGAGTAGTTCGGAGAACCGGTAAAATACACCTTTGACTAGCTCCACCCCCATCTATTTTCTGCCTCCTGAGTCCCAGCTGATCGAGAGGGAATGGGGATTTTGCAGTAACCTTACCCTGGAGTGGGGAGGGAATGGAGATTTTATAGTATCCTTCCCCTGCCATGACCACCAAGCTACGCCCACCAAGCCACACTACGCCCACCAAGCCACGCCCACAGAACTGATAGTAAAAAAATTTGAATCCCACCATTGAATGGCACAAATGCTTTTTGATGACAAATCTAGAGGAGCCAGAATAGGTAGCCAGGGGGAAACAAGTCCATACTATCCAAAGTGACAGTTCAACTGAAAGAGTTGAAGCTGGAAAAGCTACTCTTGTTCTCCTTGGAAGTTTGGCAAGGTTTTACTAAGAAACCATGAGGAAATCTGCCAGGGAAGTTTATGAAATTGACATTCTTGATAGTATAGTTTAAGTTTCTTACTCCAGTTCCAGCAGTCCAAAGGTAACACTTAGCAATAGCACTTAGACTTATATACTGCTCCGTAGTGCTTTATAAAGAACACAGATGTGTATTTTGATTGTTAATCTTCTGAAAGTATATCCAGGCAGAGGCACTTCAGTTTTAAGATACAATTATAGCATATAATTACATAATCAGTTCCTACAAAAATACAGTTCATACTTTTTTGTCAAGGAAAAAAATATAATTTCTCAGATTCTTCTCTACAGGCTTCCTGGAGGGTTCCTGACCAAATCCTGCAGCAGGCATCTTGAAGAAGTATTCAGGAGAAATCAGAGGTTGGAGAAGTTACAGTTGTCCCTCGTGAATGCAGATGGCACTGCAGTGGAATTGCTGTGTGCTGGGCTGCAACATCCAGATTGTAAAGTAAAAGAACTGCAGTGAGTGATCACTACGTATATCCTTTTCATTTTTATGTCTTTTACTCTCTCTTTGAGTTCTGGAAATATATTCATAAAAAGACACTTCCAATTTTGGTATATGACTATATTCTCGTCAGTTCTTCTGAGAATAATACATATTTTATTCTATACCCGATCATAATCAAAAAAGCCATAAAGAATTTTTGCTAAATGGTATGAAATCTGGCCCCCTCCTTACTTTCCTACCTGCTAATTGTTGAGAACCTGGCAGGGCTATTTTTTTCCTCTGGGATCTGTTCCTAGGATGAACCATGAAGATTAGAAATTGTTATTAAGAAATTTGCAGTTATGGCAGCATTTACACTGATAAGAATGTCTGGATCTAAATTTGATAATTTCAAAGTTTATAACTTTTGCCTTTTCATTGCAGATATTTTATTCTGATTCTTTTAACCTCTACTTTTAAATTTGGATTTACAGCAATCTTGTGGATTGTAGTAATTCAGATGGATTACTCTGTACTCCTGTACACTCTCTTCAATTGTCTACTAACGTCCTTTAATACACTAAAGATGCTTGAAACTTTTTTCTTTTTATGATTTTGGGAATTTGTTTTGATATAAACAGTGGCTTGAAGTTATTTGATAATGCACATTAAAATTGTAATTTCCACTTTCTTTCAAGAGAACTTTGCCTTGCTATAAATATTACTTTGATTATTATTAGCATTGAATAATTTGGATTTATTTTTCTTGGTTAACCATGATTCTGTGAATTGTGGTGTGGATATGCCTAATATATATTTATTTCACTGTTTGCATTTTGTTAGTTTATTTGGCTTATTTTCTTCTTCCATTCCCACTCACATAAAGACTAGATTGAAGTACAAAAAATCATTCCAATGTAAAATGTGCCACCAATGCTCCTCTAACTTCATTGAATTGTTTCCGCTGACTCAGCAGAGGGAGCCCCTTGGTTTTTGATCAGAAATAAAGTACTTTTTAAAAAAAATCCACTTTCCTCTACTCTGCATGTTTATTGGCCTTCATGCCAAGTAAACAAACCAGAGATTGGCTCTTGGCCATCAATACCTCAGCTTCTTCTCCACAATCCCAAAGAATCCTTTACAGCAAAGTTGTGTGTATTGGAAGTTGATAATCAGAATTCTCTAGTTCAAAAATGTAAAGAGGTAGGACTAAACAAAGTGGAAAACAAAGTGGAATTAGATGAAATTGGTTTGTGCAAAACAAATTTAGAGGTATAGCGGAAGATTTAGGTAAAATAGCCTCAGAAAGGAATATAGAAAATTTACTTAAACTGGTTTGATTTGAGTGTGGAAGAATTTCTGGCAATTCAAGTAAGTTATATAGAAAATTCCTGGATGGCATGAAGAAGAGAATTGCTGATCAAAAGTCTGACCAAGACTAACTGGGGGAGTATACTACCAAAGAACCAGCTTTGGCAACAGAATCAGCTGCCTGTCAGCATAGAGAAAATTTCCTGCTGAATCAAGATGCCAACTTGGGGGAATATTAGTAAAATCCATTAATTAATTTTCAAAATTGTATAATAAAAAGATACTTGCTCCAGCAAAATTTGAAGAATATTTAAATGGAAACTTACTTAACAAATTTTGCTGATCAATGAAAATAATTATGCATGATTCAGGGGCAAATAAAAAATGTGAGAGTGTTTTGTTCCTCAAGAAACCAGTTGACAAAACCATGGAACTGCTATGCATGACCCTTAAGCATTCAGAATGGAACATTACAGTAAGTTTGTTCTTTTCAGATTGCGGCCCATTATCTTTTCACTGTTAATCATCTGGAAATATATACAGGGAGATACAGTACAGTTGCAATATATAACCACATTTTCATCACTTCATACAAGAATATAATCCATACCTTGGATGGTGAAGTTCATGTGTCTCTAAGTCACATTCTGCATGCTTAAGCACCATACACAGCATGTCCATGGTTTTGAGATGATGCAATTAACTACCTTGATTAAAGGAAAGCGTTTGCCTAACTTTGTTTCTCTATGGAAACCACTTTTGTACATTTTGCTAGAAACCCAAAGAATGGGTACATTAATTTTGGAATTTGACAATTATAAATGTTTATGACTATAGAAATGCTTGGTATTCTTGAATTTTAGAGCAAAGTGTTTTGCATTTGCAGCTGTATAGAAAAACTTGGTTATCACTTTTCATTTTTCATTTTTCCTTTGCACTTTCCCTTCCCCTTTTTCCTTTTTAACAATTTTTGTCTGTTTGTTTTTTATAATTTAATAAAGTATATTTTTTTAAAAAGAATACATTATCTGCTTATTTTAAAAAAATAATTGTAATTTTCACACTCTTTTTTATAGACTTTCTGAAGAATCCCTGGCTGAATCCTTCAGCAGGCATTTTGCAGAAGTACTCCAGAAAAACCAGGGATTGAGAGTGTTAAAGTTGTTCTTCAAGAATACAGATGGCAGAGCAGCAGAAATGCTATGTGAGGGACTACAATGTCCAGATTGTAAAATAGAAGAACTATGGTGAGTGATCAGTGTTCGTTTTTCTTTAATGCATGTTATCTTGATTTTTTTTTCTGGAAAGATATCCACAGGGAGGCAGTTTCCATTTCAATATGTAACTAGGCAACCCATGACCTGCTGAGTCTTTCTTGTTTCCACATATAATATAGTCTGGAGCCATTTCCCTCAAGACCCCCAGAAGAGTCTTCGTGAAACCTCTTTCTCTTCCTCCCTTGCTGATCTGCGTACCACTTTTATTGAGGTGATGGGAAACAAAAGGATGTGAGGGCTGTGAAAAAACTGCACCTCCAACCAGCATTGCAGTGTGTCCCCAAGGTCCACTTCCTTCCAGGGGAGAAGAGTGTCCACTCATTGATTGATGGTGCCCACCAGCCAGGCCTAATTCACCAGCAGACATCTGAGTCACTGTCTTATCCTTACCTCGCTGGCAACAGTGGCTAAGAAAATTCAAACTTTGGCTACTTCCAAAGCAACTGATGACCATCACCTCTCAGGTTTTGCCATCAGCCAACTGGGCACAGGGGCCAAAAGGAAGTGGAAAAGAAGCCAGGCCCACACTGCAATACTGGTTGGAGGTGCAGTTTTTTCTTCCATCTTTTGTTGTACCACACAATTTAAGTCCTTTCTAGAAAATGTAATTAAAAAGCATGGTGATGCTGAAGCAGTCACAACTTTGCCAAATTTCATTCCCATGGGAGTCATGGATCCTGGCATTCTATAAATAACCCTATTTGCGCTTCCTTGT